ACTTGTGTTGTACGCTCCAGAAGTCTATAGATTGACTTTAACTGAGTTTATTCTGGTCGAAGGTAGTTTTCTTTATAGTGTTGAGTCTATTTACTCATAGTGTAACAGCATAAGGCAAGACATGGAAGCCAAAGTATATTTTTCATTAATCAAACCGCTATTTATATATCTACAGTTTATATTCGTTAACCAATCACTGAGCGTGTGCGTTTGGTTTACATCAAACGATAAAAAATAGAATGTTCGAATATGCATAGAATTCTGTTGCCAATGCAGTAGTGAATTATGGGAAAGTATCCTGTCTCTAACATCAAATGGAATGCTCAAATAGATATATCGTATTCTGGCGTTAATGTCGAATTGAACTGTGGAAAGATGTGAGAATACATTCCGTAGGCACCCATTGTTGTCTGTATCACACCGCCACAACAGGAACTGTGTCCCTATAACATTACAGTTATCGTGTATCCACTTTTTGTAAACGTATTGGTTTATATAAAAATTAGCACCAACGGCCATGTTTGAACCTTTTAGTCCCAATTCACTTTAAAAATTATGCCTACAAAACGAAACCACTGTGGAAGAATAAGGTGGCAATTTCCAGCTGCAGAAGACATGCAGTGTTATAGCTGTAAGCGCTGCTGCAAACCACACGAAAACTGGTTGTGCAAAGACTGCTGCAGTACAACTGAGTTCCGTATTAAAGAAGCCATTGCCACGCCCAGCGGAATATTAAAACTCCCGGACTGCAAAGGTCACCCACCACAGGAGGAGAGTGACTACTTCTCAGGCACTGACAATGCGGCTGGCGTCACTGACAAGACAATACACATTCTTGACGCATCTTTGTCAGGGAGTGGGTGCCCTTCAGCACAGAACGACATTCACCATTGCCCAGACACTCACGCTGCCCCTGCAATACTCAATAAGCCATTCAGTGCTAGCAGCGAAAAGGCTGGAACGAGGAAAAAGCTTACCAGGGTTCAAAAACTCTGAGCTAAAGTCGCCCACGAACTTGTAGATCAAGTCTCATCCACACAGGTGGATAGCAGGCAGACACAATCGACAACAGACAGGGAGGAGGGAGCCAATGAATCTCGAAATGCAGTCTCCCACAAAAGCGGGATAAAGACACCATAAAGGCCACACTGTCCACAAAGGACAGAAGGCACTTACACCGCACAGCAAGAAAGCCACCACAAGCAAACCTGACCTCTCTGACAGGCCGCTCATTCCCCACAAAGTAGAAGAATCAGCGGCTTCTGATCTCAAGGTCAAGTCTGAACGTGACCTTAACCTAGTCAAGCTCATCTTGGATAAACTACTGCCACAAACAGTATCAGATGTTACTTTACACAGCTTGTATTGAACTTGCCAAAAGGCTGACTCTACACTAAATAAGCCAGTACGCCTTCTCGAACTCCCAAAGTCTTAAAGGACCAGGCATTCTTGTCTGCGCCGAATTATACCTAGCAGATCGCGTCTAAAGATAGTCTGCGGCTCTAGAATTATCTGAATGGCTCCGAAACGGCGAGAAAATCCTTAAGATGAAAGGTTTTCGAGTTGTCAAAGTTAGAAGTTTGATGATCCAGAAACCTCTGTGGTCAGACCAAAGAAGCACCAAACTAACTTAACAGTTTGCTACGTAAATGCCCACAGCCTGTTGAACGAGCGGACTGAGTTGGGTAATATGATAGACTCCAGAAACCCGGATGTAATTATCAACACAGAGGCATGGTTCACATCTGATGTCACTGATAACAAATTTAACTTGCCAAACTTCGAAGTTCATAGGGTGGATCGGCTAAACTGGAAAATGGGTGACGTAGTCATCTACCTCAAGAAATGCTTAACCGTGCATAGCATAGAAGCGCTCGCTCACAAAAGTGAATCGTGAGAACTTCCACGCTTCAGGCTTAGACGCACAGTCCAAGATAATTATCTTATTGCCATATACCGCAGTCCTAACTATAATAATAATTTATATTTTCATATAAATATAAATTCACATGAAAGTGCATGCCATTTTTACAGGCACGATCAAGTATGATATAATGACAAATAGTAGATTGTCTACAAGTTAATAATGTTTGAACAGCTAAATATTTGATATATATATAAATACACTAATTGTCTGACCCATGTGGTATCATTTTTGAATTAAACAGTAATCCTCCAGGTTGCGCAGGAAAACCGACTTCGTTTCGTTTTCAACCCGTATTTGTAGGCATACGATAGCCAACCAATGCAGACGACTTCCCAATAGAGAAGCTAGGCTCCCGGAAATCGAATTGTTGAAGTCTTGTAGTCAACGGCTTCGGTGCTTCTACAGTTGACTAGAACAAGCCTTTCAATGCCATCTTCAGACAACTACTTTGATTATAAACTCCTGGAATCAAACATTCCGCTAGCCCTAGTCCAACATGCCATGAAGCCCAAGCACGCACCGACTCACAGCGCTCCTCCTCAAATCTGGACCTGGTTCTCTTCATTGTTAGGATGTGGACCTCATACATTAATAGCAAGCCATCACGCCGCGCTCACTTTTAAGTTTACAGCAGCAGTGTCATTAGCCAAAACGCCAGCTTGACCAAACGTTTGGAAAGCTGATGTAATTGCTGTCGTCTCAGCAGCCAATTCAGTGAACTCCTACATAAACCCTGAGCCTTTAGTTGAAGTCCCACGGAACAACTCTAAACAAATTTACGCCCAAGTAACTGGACCTGTCATCCCTTGGTTTGTCTCAGATTTTCGCAAACACTGCCTCCCCTAGTGGGTAAACCGAGAGATCCGTAAATTACTAAGACGTAAACACAAATGCTGGAACCTGTTTACCATTCTTGAAACTCCTCAGACCAGAAAGTTATACAATATTGCTAAGAACAAAGCTATTGCAGAAATCCGCCAACCCAGGATGAAGTTCAAAGCATATCTGGCTCAAAATGCAACAGCACAACCTGAGAAAATTTTCTCGTACTTTAACCTCAGGAATAAGACTTCCAATCTGGTCCCAAACTTGACTGTTTAAAACGAAAAAACCGAAGCAGATCAAGAAAAAGCAGAATTAATGACAGATTACTTCTCCCAAGTATATACACAGGAGTCATCACTACCCATAGGATCAGCTCCGGCTGCATCAGAGGAACACGCGATAGACTACGTTAACATTGACTAAGATATCGTGCTCAACTGCCGAATGAAACTTGTTATGTTATGATCCCATCCCCGTCGCCAATTGTTATGATGCTGGATCCTCTGTCACGCCGTGACTGCTTTACTACTGACCAGTGCCCACTTAACTGGTAAATCAGAACACGAAGAGAATCAACGGTAAAACTAGGTTCATTTATTATGACCAAAGTGAATGTATTTATACAGAAAATAAGGTAGACTGGAAATCAACCAATCCGGTTGAGAGTTTGAATTGTGCAAGCGTCCAGTCAGAAGCAGGAACAATTGCATGTCAACGACATGTTAATAAAGCGATAATAACTTGACTGAGAGACGATAATGACCTTATAATTGCATGTGTTTTGCCTCTTCCTAACAAAACTCGATGCAGGAAAATCAATGGATCCTGATAACTTCCGTCCAAGGCTTCTCAAGGAGCTATCAGCCCACATAGCCAGCACACTGACCACTATCTTCAAGCTCATACTCCTGAATGCCCTCCGACTGGAAGGACTCCATAGTATGTTTTTAAGAAAAACGGAGTGGTGGCCATTGGTATGACTTTTAATCTGAAAAATTGCAAAGTAGTGAAACTACCCACCTTTAGGCTGCAGAATGCAAGTTAAACCTTGTGCAACGAAGGCTTGTGTTGCACAGTGTCGGAGCGTCACTTAGGTCTAGATCTAACGGGAAAATAGAAATAAGCGTGAATTACACGGGGATGGATAGAGGGCATATGCGGTCATACACTTTACACATAGACATTTAGGTGCACTCACTCTTGAGCTCTTTATAAGTTTGTACAAAACATACGTCAGATCACACCTTGAAGCGCATAATATCATTGCACACCCACTGCTTAGAAGAGAAGTTAACCTTTTGGAAAGAGTCCAAAGGCGCGCGACAAAAGGTGAGATGTGTCTCCTAAACAAACCGCATGATGAACGGCCAAAGAAATTAGGTCTCCACACTTAGCTCCCGTAAGGCTTATGGGGGACTTGACTACTGCCTGTAGGATTGGAATTGACCAGAATCACGAAAACAAAGGCGCTCGTGTCTGCCCTTGTGGAAATCCCAGAGGGATAGCTCACCAGAGAGCAAAGACTCGAGTGCGCTCCACTTCTTTTCACTGAGGGTTTGCCGTCCTTGGAACTCTTTAACGACAGGTGTAGCTACGCCACCGTCTGTCGACAGCCTTAAACGAGGGCTGGAAAATCATGCACCGACACAAGCACTGAGTCCAGACGTCCTATCCCCTTAAAACCTCATACACTGTTAATCAGTAGACGTCTAAACTCATCGTTTTTCTCCTTCACATTCCCTATTGTCGTGCTCTCTTGACTACTCCAACTATTACGTCCCTTACACTACATTTATTATTGATATTCATATACATGTGAGTTTATATGTCCTATAGACGCAAACTTCAAATTTAATTAACTGTCTGTTTTTACGTTCTCTTTCTTTGTTTTAGTCTACATAACCTACACCAATTATATCTGTTATTATTATGTCTTTTCTTTTGTCGACGACAGCAAAGTCTAAGTGGTGAAAAGATCAACTCCATTCACAGTGGTAACTTAGTCTTGACACACTGCATACTACGAAACAACATATAATTAATCCCACCATCATTTCTTTTGGGGGCAACAAAGCTACCGCAGTCGAGTGGCGGGACAATCTACGCAGAAGTTTACCGAAGATCAGTAACCTTTATGTCAAAATCGAGAAGCGAAATTGGTTTGCACTAGCTTGTAAAAAACGATATTGGACACTGGATTCTCGATGACAATTGTTGTTTTAATTAGTGATGTCATTAGTGAAAGTAGCTGATGTTTATTTGAAAGTGTTAGCATTTTGATAAAAAATAGGTTTCTAATAGTAATGAACAGTTCAAGGTAAGGAAGTTATATGGTATAGTTTTAATCAATTTCAGAAACATTTCAGGGTCTAAGATGAAAAAGAATAAGTCTAAAACAGATGTTAAGCTTATCTTGAACACAAATCAAAAAAGAGATTTGCTGGAGGCTTTTAAACTTCTTGACAAAGAAGGATCTGGATTAATTACAGGTAGAGAACTAAAGGTGGCCCTTAGAGCCTTGGGTTTTGATCCCACAGCTGCTGATATTAGACAGCTCGTTTTGGAACACGACCCTGATAATAAAGGTAAAGATTATCAAATTATGACACAAAACATAGGTTTAATCGACTTCAAAGGATTTTTGGAAATTATGACACTGAAAATGACCGAAAAAAGCGAGAAGGCAGATCTTATAAAGGCTTTTAGGATATGCGACGATGACGATTCGGGGAAGCTGACACTTTCAAAGCTAAAACGTGCTGCGCAACTGCTTGGAGAGGACATAAATGATGAAGAGCTACAAGTGAGGCTTACAAATGAAATTCAGATAGCTAATTTAAAATACCATGGGCGTTTTTTTCACTTAATTTGCTTTTAACCTAATTTTCTCATTGTCACCGTATTCAGGGAAAGTAGACATATGTTATTCTACCCTTCGCAAACCATATACTAGCGTCTGCATGCAAAGCATCGGTCTGTCTATCAGCTCTTCAGATTCAGATTATAAGGATAGAAGAATCTTGTTGCCTGTTAATCCTTGCGACATATATATCTGCAGGGACCTAGTTTCTCTTTGAAACCGTTCACCGATGGATCTGTTACTACTGAATCAGGTAACGAGTTCCAGTCACTGATCACTCTGTGAGAGAATCTAAATTCCTCAAGTATTTTATTCGACCTCAGTTTGAGCACCTTCCTGTGGTGACCTCGTAAATATATCCTAGAGTAAGAGGAAAGATTTGAAAGGTCAATCCCTTAACAATCCTTCAATATACGGTTTGCTAAAATTAGGCCGCCTCTCCTCCTTCGGTATGATAATCAAAAGAGACTTAGGTGCTCTATCCCCTTATCATTAGGAAGGTGCGAGATACCACTAACTAATTTGGTTCCTACCCTCTATACTCTTTCCAGGATATGTGCTTCCTTTTTGAAACATGGGCTCACCGCTTGTATGCAATATTCTAGATGAGGTCTGACATATGTTGCATAGAGTACTTGAAACATACACTCGTCTTATCGTTCGCAAGCCATTCGAAGTGCCCATAGCATTCGAAAAGTCTTAGCTGAGGCCCCATTACAATTTGCTGTTGTTTTTAAGTCATGGCTTAAAATAATTCCCAAGTCCTACTGTCCCTTAACATCCGGCAGTTCTGTGTCCGCCGAGGAGCACAACGTGTAAAGCCTCTGACCTGGGTACATTTCGGTGCTTTTCTTGGAATTAATCTCCAAACTCTAAAGGTTAGCCCATTCAGCTAATTTATCTAGATCGTTTTGTAGTACCAACCTATCATCGTTATTATTTACGGTTAATCCTTTATTTTTTATGCCACTACATCAGTCAAACCAAAGATATCCTTTATGACGATCATGAAGTGGAGAAGAAGTTAAGTATTGCTTTCCTTTTAGATTTTTCATTTTATTGGAATCGATGATGTCTCTGTCATGATTTTTCGCCAAACAGCTACTCCATGAGGGCTTCACTGTTGAAGCCAGTAAAAATGTACTTGTAAACCATTAGATGTTGGTTTGAAACCCTGTTCAAGCATTTTGGGACACTTTTCAGTACTCAGTAATAATAATAGCAAATCGTTAAGCCTGTTAGTATTTTTATCTACTACGGACCAGGTAGTGAAAGCTAGTGAGTGATTCAATGAATCATGGAACCGATTATCGGTGATGAAATGGTATATAACTTCTACCTATACAAACTTTCTGGAAGCTTCACTAAGATTACGAAATATCTTTCATTCACAATGCACTTCAGCTAAAACCCACATTTTTTGTCCGAATCACAGTCATAGTCCTTTAGTTTAGCTTCGGAACCCGTAAAAATGTGAGAGAATGTCTGAGAAATGAACATAGGTAAAGTGGTTAATCTTGAGATATCTGGCACGTGAAAAAGGATGATTATTTCATACACAAAAGTATTTTATATCTTCATCTAAGCAAGGAATTTTTAAAGACCAAGAAGGGTGAAGTGCTGGCAAGGAATGGGATCTTAAACTCAGAAGTAGACGAGGGAATTTTAGTCATAGATGTGGTCTGGTGGATAACTCAGTATTGTCGTCAGCTGTTGGATAGATGCAGAACATACGAAGGATTTCGTCAGTCGAACCACTGCCATTAGTGTTTTTCTAGACCAGAGTCGACTACCATGCTTCACGGAAGTGTATTTGGTTAAGTGTTTTCCAGAAATCTACTGATTGAGATGACGCATCACAGTAATATTCTTGGTAACGCAAATTATGTGCTGTGGAGTAGAGATCTACTTTATACTAACTAACATTACTGTGTCATATATTTAATAAGCAGTTTTACACTAGAAGAAAATGATTTTTTGAGGGGACAATTTTTTAGATAACTTCTTCTTCAGGCTGTATGGTTATAAATTCAAAACGAATTCTTCAATTTGTGAACACTACTAGTGTCAGGTCAGTCTGCCTCACATGATTTATCCTGTAAAGAACTTAGATTCTCTCACAGAGTGGAAAACGTCTGTAACCTTTTACCCGATTCATTGGTGTCAGCTCCAATGGTGAACGCTTTCAAAAAGAAATTAGATCTCCGCAAAGATATATAGTGTAAGGATTAACACAGGCCGCAAGACCCTACTATCCCCTATTATTTGAAACTTAATCTAGTGTGTAACTTCACCTGTTGGTCATTATTATTACCTTGAGTTTCGAGTGGAAAACGGAGATTCGAAAGCCCATCTGCAATTCGTTCCATTCTCTCCAGTGTTTGTCAACTTGCTGCACGACTACCCACAAGCTTTCATTTCCTCCTCACACTATCTCCCTCACGTTACCCTCAAACGCCTGACTCATTGTTCCCCTACTGGAGATTCATTCGACGTCATGCCTTGAGCGTTTGGTGTTACTCAAAGATTTCTTCAGTGGATATCAAGTCCATCTACATTCCTTTCTGGATATTTATTGTGATAGGTTCTCAATTGGTTTGTCGCTAAAATTCCTTATTGCTGATGCTTTCTGGTCATCTAATCTTCATAAAAGTCTGAAATCTTTTTTCTTTCAAGGATTACTTCTCTTTTTGCGTGTCTTATCAGTACCCTGATATTTCCTGCTACAGAAATTTGTACAACCAAACTTTTTGACTACAGAATAAGGAAAATAGAAAACTTAGTGCATGAGAACGGGTACTCTGAAAAATTAGGTTAAGTGTCTATGAGGAACAACGTATGTGTGACTTCACCGTCTAAATGAGACGCAGCAAATGAATTGCTAACATCGAGACTTCGAAAGATAATAGCTAAAACATCATTTGCGGGATACTGCGTTTAAAATTCTGCACTCATTTTATAATTCCAACGCAGGCGATGAATAGGATACCGAGTTTGGCTAATTCATTGTGCATTCATAAATTTAACTGACTCACAAAGCCCACCGTCACCTTCTGGAGCACTGTCCAACTCGTTTAGGTAAAGGATTCGTAAAGTCAATCAGAAGTTATATATTAGCACATTTAGTGGATATGGAGCACAAAATTGACAAAAATTCAGCTGTTACTAACCTATGCAAGGTTTCACCTCAAATCCCTCGGTTGGGAGGTCTTCAGTTGCTAAGCCTAGCTGAGGAAGTTGCTAGAAAGATTTTTCACCTCAACTCCTGTGTTCAAAAACCGTTTGTGCAATCTGTCTCTCTCCCTTAGCCTTCACCTCCAACCTAAATTAGTTAACTCTCCTGGTGACACCGGATAACTGTAAATTTTATCTTATTATATTTTAATTTTATTCTGTTTAGAACAACATATATAAGTGAACAATATTGTGGTTTCAACAAGATATCATCAGGCTTAACTCTAATATACATAACTTCACAAATAAAAATTCAAATATAAACCAATCATTGTGGTTTATCAATGGGATGATAAGATTGTGCATATAAATTGAGCATTTAGACATGATAGTAATAATAATGATGGTCTTGTCAATAATAAGGATGAAAAAGTGAGGCAATCTGTGATAGCACGAATAACGAAAAACAGCATGATTAAACAAATAAACAAATGTTCAGGTGGACGTGGTAGTCGATAAAGGCTAAGAAAAACAAATGAGCCGATTACGTAAGGCTAAACATTTAACAGTGTTAAATGTCTTACGAGCAGAGCAAGAAAGATATGTACGGATGACCACTTATAAAAGGAATTTGAATATGTTCATGATTCCTTGACGGAGATTGGCTTTCCGAGTAGTTTCATAAAGAAACATATGAAAACATCGGAGAAAAAACCGGAGACTCTGACTGTACGTAAGAAACCTCTATTTATTAAATTACAATTTAATGGTGACTTGTCAAGTGAGATTTTATTCCAGAGACTTTTCGGGAGTATAGGAAGAACGTTTTACGCAGCAAACCTGTGTTTGTCATTTTCTAGCCGACGAATGATTGGGACGCAAATGAAGGATAAGACAGATAGATTTGCCACATCTATGTGCATTTATCAATTCAGCTTCACCTGCGGTGACAGTTATGTTGGGTATACTACTAGACAGCTTAACCAACGTGTCACTACTGAGCATCTCCCATCGTGGTTTGGCAAAGGACAGGCAAAAACTATCCACAGCTCAATTTTGTCACATTTAGTTGATAGCGGTCATGTAGTGGAGAAAATGGGAGCTTTCAGGGTAATTCATCATATCCCATGGAATCTTGAGAATAGATTTCGTATTCGTTTATTGCACACAGCTGAGGCGATAGACATTCGAACTATTAAACCTAAACGATGCATTCAAAAGAAGTTCATACAGCTATTATCCCTCCCTCATCGGCCTATTAAGACATATTACAACAAGACATATAAGCGAACAATGTTGTTTTCAATTAGATCTTTTTCAGGCTTTACTCTAATTTACATAGATTTATATATAAAAATTTGAACCAATGACGGTGATTTTTTGGATCAAATAATAATAATACTACTCATAATAATGTAGTAAATGTTTTGAACGTAGTTAATAACGATGATTATAATGATAACAAAATATCGATAATAAGGTTTATGCAAATGGCGATAAGAATAACAAAGGTAGTAATTTGTGTATATGTTGACAATCCGATAAATAAATTAGGTCAAATCCCCGGTGGGTGCGTACTGGTGAAGAGACCCAAACTAGGACGAAACAGCTGTTCAGTACTTCCAGGTTTTCCAGTGGTTCTCTAACTCATATCAGCTCATGATGAAATCCTCCATGCAATCAAACAAAATCCCTACAAAACCAATTCTTGAAAATCTTAAAAGTTACGTAATACTAAAACTAGGTGAAGTGGATAGATAATCAGAGTTTAAATAAACATCATAAAAGTACGAAGGAGATGGAAAATAAGAAAGACTGGGAGGGTTTTGAATAGAATTCACCTAGGCCCAGGGAGAGACAAAGGTAGAAAAAACTTCTTTTGTATGCAAAGACTAGGACTGTTCTCTCGAATTAATTCCCATAGCTTCGGCTATGTGTAAAAGGCGGGTTCGAATTCCGTTCGAAAGGCTCGATAGAATGCGATAGATAACTTTGAAGGCACTATTTTTGTCCACTTGGTGACCACTATCAATCAAATGAGCCAAGATAGTACTTCTTATAGATTTTATTTGGCCTTTTCCGGACCATGAAGGAAGATGCTCATTAATGCGGTTGTTAGGCTGTCTAGTTGTTCACCCTATATAGCTCTCTCCACGGGAGCAGCTAAATTTATAGATACAAATAGAAGTGGCACAGCTAGGTAGCTTGTCTTTCACTTGAGCAATTATAATTGGTCGGATGGAAAATGACAAACAAAGGGTGGCGGCAGTATAAGTCCGTTTTATCGCTCTCGATAATCTCAGATGTAAGACTTCACTAGCCACGTCCCCATTAAATTGAAGTTTCATGATCAGTTCTTTCTTTTTAACTGTTGTCAGTTTTTCTTTGTTGTACCTGGTATTCATGTGTCTCCTAACAAATCTATTAGGATAACCCATTTGGACCAGCGTATTTTGGAAATATCCTAGCTCATTTTCTAGGGAGTCATCTGTACAAATACGTCTCCGCCACTCCTTACTTACTTTATATTTCCAATCCCTCTCTTTCCATCCCTTAATCTTATCGCATCTTCGTTGAAAACGTATTTTATTGGCTTCCCTTACAATCTAGAATTACTCAATTGGTTCATTTGTTCTTCTTAGCCTTTATCGACTACCACGTCTACCTGAACATTTGTTTGTTTAATCATGCTGTTTCTCGTTATCCGTGTTATCACAGATCGCCTCACTTTTTCATCCTTATTACTGATAGAACCATTATTACTATCATTACTATTACTATGAAAAATTGCAAAATTTATATGCACCATCTTATAATCCATGAGACAAAAGACCATGATTGGTTTATATTTGAATTTTTCTAGGTTCATTTTGATTGTTATCCATTAATTCACATCCCTGAACTTTGATGTTATGTATTCTATTAACCGCATTTATTCAAATGCCTATGACTAATATTTACTCATTATGTAAAGCCTGATTAGAATTTACCGAAAATACGTATTTGCTTGCTTAAATCGTGTACTGTTCTTTATCTCACAGATCCCAATTACCTTCTATAATTTTCTTATCATTAGGAAATGATTGATGAAGCTGATAAAGATGGGGATGGAGAGGTCAGTGAAGAAGAATTCCTTTGGATTATGCGTAAAACAAATATTTTTTAAATACTTTTATATATTTGCATATTATTTGGAATTTAAATACCTGAAATCATGAAAATAATTGGAATACAACTTAAATTAGTGAAACAGACTAAAAGTTTATTTTGTAAAATAATCCTTTTTGTATACTTATTTTGAATAAACCGGAATTTTTAAACTAAAACACCGTTTTCACAATCATTGAACATTGAAATGATCCTTCGTTTAAATTACCTATTTACAATGTTTCATGGTGGTTTTAAAATTAAATTTCTCAGTAATCATGTTAAGAATCAATGATACTGAAATTTTTATATTTTTTTATCATACTAATTAATGTAAATTATCTTGAGAATGTATTCAATGCCACTTTTGGCTAATAGTGTACAGATTTTAATGGTCATTTTTGTAAAAAAACATTTTTGAGGATAAATAAAACTTAGTGTATGAGAAAGGGTACTCTGAAAAATTAGTTTAAGTGTTTATGAGGAGAACAGATAAAAAGAAATACCTTCACACTGTCCCGGAATAATGTATGTGTGACTTTCCTGTTCACCTACGGCGGCCTGCTTGAACATAGGGCTACCAAAAATTCCACCTTACAACATTTTGCAAAATTGCTTTGGTTTGCTCTTTTAATTTTGTTTTAATTTATCAATAATGTGTCCTAATCGTATTATTTATAATCGCGCATTTTTAAAATCATTACAACCTACTGCGTTGTGTCATCCACAAAAATTGAGAAAAAAGCATCACTGTGGATGGCAGCGTGCACTGAAACGTACACAAATTAATCAAATGACTGTTCCTGAACTCGTTAGCACTAATTGTAGATCATTGTCCAACAAAATGGATTATCTTCAATCCCTAATGTATTCTAATGTTTATCGAAACGCTGGCGTTTTAGCAATACAAGAGACTTGGCTGCACCAGCATTATGATGATAATCTAGTTTCATTAAATGGATATAAAGTTTTTCGCCAAGATAGAAAAAGTTCTAAGAAAAAATGTGGAGGAGGGGTAGCCACTTTTATAAACACAAGTTGGTCTACATCAAATCACGTTTGCTTCAATTATTCTAATGACAATATAGACTGCATAACCGTCAGGTGTCGCCCAAAACACTTAAGTAAATATTCTTACATATACATAACAAATATCTACATAACACCCAATTGTAGCCTTTCAAATATAGTTACGTTTGCAGATGAATTTACTGAATTCGCTGCTCCTGCATTCGAAAACTCGCTGTCTATAGTCTGTGGTGATTTTAATTCATGTGATCACAGCTTTCTTACTTCACTTGGTCATGAGAATCTAGTCAAGTTTAATACACGTCTGGACAAATCACTAGACCTGGTTTTCATAAACGACCGTGATGTATATGAAACCCGAAGGAGAGCTCCTTTGTTAAACTCTGACCACTGCATTATTCGTATTTTACCGAAAGTGTACGGCAAGTTACAACAAAAATTGTTTAGTCATTTAACAAAGAAGATACATGAACGTTCATATTCCCATGACAACATTCTAGCACTAAGAAGCATGTTGTATGATACCAACTGGGAACTATTTACTGACGATAAGTTGGATGCTACTGTCTCTAATATAACCGATTATCTGAAGTTTTGTTTGGATATTTGCTGTCCATATGAAACACTGTTTTCGAGATTTGACAGAATCTCTTCTTTGCAGCTGAAAAAACTTAGAAGACAAAAAGAGAAGTTGTATAAGAATTGTGATAATACTGGTGTCCGTAAAATAAACACCCTTATAAAAATTGAAATAGAAAGATTGAACAGACTATATAATGAAAAATTTTTATCATGTAAAAATCCTTCAAACATTTGGAAACTTTTCAATAAACTTACAAGTAAAAAACAAATGTCTGTTGATGCTTATTCTGATGTTAATGCTTTAAACAAATCATTTATCATGAAACAAATTAATATGCCTGTACCTGATGTACCTAGTCAAGATAATGGTCATTTTCCGGGTTTTAAAGAAGAGGATGTACTATTATGTTTGAAATCTTTAAATCCAACACACAGCCTTGGTCCAGATGGTGTACCAGGCATTCTTCTTCAAAAGTGTGCAGACATCTTGTGTCATCCTCTTACTCAAATCTTTAATGCATCATTCAACAAGGAAACGGTACCTGCTGACTGGAAAGAAATCAAGGTTGTACCTGTACAGAAATCATCTTCTGGAGCAGGTATAAAGTTTAGACCGGTCGCTATAACATCTCCTTTTTTGAAAACTATGGAGAAACTTCTTTTGAATACTCTTAAACCTTCTTTAAAAGCTTTTAGTGACCCTAAGCAGTTTGCTTATAAGTGTGGAAGAAGTACATTAGATGCAGCCATTGTACTACACCACAATATTGTTTCCTGCCTTGATAAGGGTGCTAAGTTCGTTCGAACAGCTTTTTTAGACTATACTGCAGCTTTCGACTCTGTTCCTAGGACACTTTTATTAGGAAAGATGATTTCAGCACAGACAGAGTCCTGGGCAACTAGATGGCTGTCTTCTTATTTTAAGGATAGGAAACAGCATACTGTTTTGGCTGGAAAGCGCTCCACTTCTCAGCTAACTGAAAGTGGTGTGCCTCAAGGTGCAGTACTTTCTCCATTTCTTTTCTCTTTCTTTTTGCATGACCTTCCGAACTCACCCAAAGTTAACTTCATTAAGTATGCTGATGATCTGACCGTTTCTGTCCCTGTAGTTTCCACATCGGATTGTTCCCATATGAATGGCTTCTTAGCTGAAGTTAAGGATTGGTCTGGCTCAAATGGTCTTAAACTAAATCCAACTAAATGTAATACTGTTGATTTCAGCTTGAGAAGTGAAAAAGACATGCATGGATTGATCCAATCTCATGATTGTTGTAATATTGATGGTACCATGATAGAGAGTAAGTCAAGTGTTTCTTATCTTGGCATTAGTTTCTCTTCAAACCTTTGCTGGTCGTCTCACATTCTTATAGTTTCTACGAAAGTTTTCCGTCTGACTTATTACATAAAGAAGTTGAGGCACTCAGGTATAACCCAATCTCTTCTCATACAATTTATTAATTCATGTGTTTTGCCCATCATTCTTTATTGTTCTCCATTATTCTTCCCTGGGCTACTCAAAAAAGACCATATAATACTACGAAGAACATTGAGGGCTGTAAGTAGGGTCAGTGCTATCCCTTTGACTCAACTAACTGACACTGTTGTCAATAGGCATATGAATTCTTGTAAACAGTTAGCTAAAGTTATTTTGTCTGATAGTGAACATCCTCTTTATTCACATTTGTTTCCTTGTATCTCTTCGGGTAAGACCAGAAGAAATTTCATAAACATTTATGCTCGTACTACAAAATATAAAAATTCGACCGTACCATATTTGGCACGAGTATTGTGTGAAGAGACGAATATCAGAAAAGAACTTTTACAACTTTTAAATCATTAACTAAACTATAAAATGTAATGATGCATATTATTGCATGTGTGATTTGTTATATTATTTATTTATTATTCACTATGACCTAGAAATGGTGTATTTTGTTGGGTTTTTTTTATTTTTCCTATTAACTATCAATATTTTTAAAATTTTATATATTTATATAATTATAAAAAGAGCTAAACCAATGCAATATGTAAAATGAAACGCTGAAAATTCCATGCTGTAAATTGTTATTGTTGTGGAATAAAGTGATTATTATTATTATTATTATTATTAAAGGAGACGCAGCAAATGAATTGTTGGAATCGAGACTTCGAATCCCGGTGGATGCGTACTGATGAAGAGTCCCAGACTAGGACGAAACAGCTGTCCAGTACTCCCAGGTTTTCCAATGGTTCTCTAACTAATGTCAGCTCATGATGAAATCCTGTAACCAATCAACCAAATCCCTACAAACCAACACTTGAAATTTTAACCTTTCTAAATCTTTTGAATAGTTGTAAGCGAAGTTAGTTTGTTTCTTTGTGTTTGAAGTGGGGAGTTGAATTTTTAATTGGGAACTTTTCATATTAATGCCAAAGTTCAAACAGCCACACTTCATATCACCACAAATTAAAGTGGAAAAACGAATCAGATGAAATTGTTACAAATTATTTCAGAAGATTTTGAATTTCTCAATGAATGAAAAACTGACGTTTCGCTATTTAAAACTGCTGCCTACAGCATTATCAAAGTAGTAATACTAAACCAGAATTTACAAAATCTCAGCTTATATATAGTGATTTAATCATCATTCATCAGCATGGGGTCATATTTACCTTATCGAATTGGCCAATTAGTAAAGTTAACTAAACCGAATGCAGATTGTTGAATTCGATAAGTGCATAAAATTATAAAACCAGCCTGTGTTAACATAATGAAATTGCTTATCACATTTGTGCTGACTTTGTCACTTCAAGTGTGTGTGTTGTAACCAGGTCAGATTCTGTTTCAGTTCACCATTCCTTTTCAGACAAAGTGAATTCCATTTGATGTGAAGTGCTTCTGATATTAGACGTTCTTTGTGATTTCTGAAATGCTTTTTCTGGATGATGATTTCAATATTGTCGAAATCAGTTTTTCGGCCTGATTCTATAGCGTGTAGACTAGCTATGACTGGCTGATGATTTTTCAAGCTGTTCTAGTTCAACTGGATTTCTTGGTGGTCAAACAGATGCGGATCTACGGTGTTCATCTCATCTGATTTTGATTTATCGTGATGTTTGTCCTATACATATCGTATCATATTCCAAGCATTTTATTTTATAGACACAATTAGATAGAGAATCTCTAGAGATTTGGTCTTTTATATGGACAAGGTTGCTTTGAAGTGTGTCTGATGTTTTGAAGAAAACTCTAATGTCGAGCTGATTGAGTACTCTTCTGATATCGTCTGAAGTTTTTGATCTATATGAAATGACAACTGTTGAGGTCCATGTCTTTGGAATACGTGTTAGACCATATTTAATGTTTGTATTGAATTTGTTAATCTAGTTATTTGGATAGTATTTTTCTTGAGATTTCCAGTAATGTTTGATATTTCTTTTTCTTTCTCCATCGTTAACATCAAAGAGTGCATCCTTCTAAG